GACTTATACCTCGAATTTGACGTAAGCGGTCATCTCAGTACCTGAATCTATGGCAAACGAGACGATTTTAATTTTGAAATTATCAATTTCCCCCACCTTAGTAGCAATATACCAACTTCACCTGCATATGGGATATACATTTCCCAACTCATTCGGTATTCAAGAGCTTGCAGCTGCTACTCACACTTTGTAAAACGTCACCAGTGTCTGAGCAGAAAGTTGATGAACCAGGGTTATGTCAAAGAACGTTTCGTTCTTTTTCTAAAAAAAAGTTCATCGGAAGATACCAAGACCTTGTTGATAAATATTCCGTATCAACTTCACAAATAATACACGATGGTCTTGAAGTATAGACTCTAGGTACTGACGTTGTTTATCATCTTAATAACGTGTTATAGTATCCTTTTATTTGTCTTTGAAAATTATTACTTTTACTGTTTAGTCTATTTTTGGCAATATCCATTTGACGTGGCTTGGTACTTATACATCCCGTCATTGTGTTGTTATGCTATGGTAAATTTTTGTATTCATGTCTTTCGGTTTTGCTTATGTGCTTTGTCCATATGCTTTTTTGTTTATCTTTGTTGACATGTTTGCTTGTTTTTATAGTCATTAAGATTATAACACAATGATGACTGCTGTACCCCTATTTTTGACATTTTTACCTAATATGTCTGTTTGTTTTGTTCACACATCGTTGTCAATATAATGGAATTTTGTACGACTGTCATACAAGTGAGAAGTTTAGCTAGCTATAAAACCAGGTTTAATCCACCATTTTCTACATAAAAAAATGCCTGTACCAAGTCAGGAATATGACAGTTGTTATCCATTCGTTTGATGTGTTTGAGCTTTTGATTTTGCCATTTGCTTAGGGACTTTCCTTTTAGAATTTTCTTAGGAGTTCGGTATTTTTGTTATTTTACTTTTTAGTAGCGTAAAATTGTAGATTACGAATAATTCATATATAACATGTGAATTTGTGTTTTGAAAAACGCTGGTATGTTCTTATTTATGCAATTGAAATTTTAGGACATGATTTATAATCATATAAAAAATAAAGATATCAAGGGGATAATCGACCACTAGTGCATCATTTTACAAGTCAAGGAACAAATACAATGACAAAAAAACCCATTAGATTCAATCCACAAAACATAACACATGAAACTTAGAACTGAGCACTCTAACATTTATCTCAAGTAATAAAAACTATGTCATTCATATTTCAGTTTTCAACTTTATCCTGACAGGTGTAGAAAATAAACAGGTGTCTTCTATTCCGTCCGCAACTTTTGGGGAAAGTAAAATCTAAATTAAGAACCATGGTTGAAACTGAAACTACACAAGTATGATAAAAATAGAACATGTTATTTCTGCTTTTATCAAATTCTAATTTCGGAGGGATAGCGAAATTTGTTTTCTTTTATTGTGCTTCTGTGTTTCTTTAGTAGTGAATGCAATTTTAAAGTAAATTTGGTCTTCTCAAGTCTCAATTCAGGATTATGCCCGAATAGAGTATAATGTAGGGGGCCAAGAAAATAGTGTCACACTTGTTACTGTAATTTGATATTTGGTAGACCTAGTTCAAATTTTTATAAATATTCAGGAGCCGTGGTTCAGTTTTTGTCGTTAGTTTACGTCTGTTTTATTTGCCTTTTGTAAAATGTTTTGTTATAAATTAGTCCGTTTGTTTTCTCGTTTGAATTGTTTCACATTTTTCATGTCGGGGCCTTTTATAGCCGACTATACGGTATGGGTTTTTCTCATTGTTGAAGGCACGGTATGATTGCCTATAATAACTGCTTATATCCACCTCATTTTAACAGTGGCAGATAGTTGTTTTATTGGCAATCATACAATGTCATCTCCTTATTATTATATTATATTAATAAAATAACAACTATAAACAGGCACAATTCGTATGGCACTACACTAGGTAAACTCGTATTACATTACATTATGTAGTCTCCTTGAACTTGGTACATTCCATTCTTATAAAATTATACTAGGTACATTCTTATGAAATTACACTAGGTACATTTTTTTTTAAAACTACACTAGGTACATTCTTATAAAATTACACTAGGTACATTCTTATGAAATTACACTAGGTACATTTTTAAGCATCATACTGGATACATTCTCATAACATCATCTTTGGTATATTCTTATAACATTACACAAGTACATTTATAGCATTACACTATACACTATGTTATAACATTACACTATACACAATGCTATAAAAATACAATATACACAATGCTATTGCATAACACTGGGAATGATAAGGGGACAGCCATTTGGTATACCAAGGGTGTTGAAGCGCAAAGTAATGTCAATCAATACGAGGAACAGTTAATTATTAATGTTTATGGAGACGAAATGCTGAATGAATATATAGTTTTATTGTTCATATTTTTATATTGGAACAGCCTTTGCCGATTGAATTCGGGATTTATTTCCCAACCCGGAACGCCTATTCTGTTTTAGTGTCATACTTCTACTTATTATTACTAGGGTAAACATATTGAATTAAAGAGTTTGTTGTCTACAAGAATATGTTAATACAATATATACAAGTAATTCAAAAATGGAATTAGAAAAAAAGAGCAGTGCTCTTATATAAATCCATCTCCCGCGGATAGTACTTACTCTTTCTTCTAACCCTCTTGTATTTGTAATTTATGGCTGGTCTCCAGTGTATTTATAGAATATGTATTGGAGAAATAAATGTTGTACGTAAGGAAATTTGTATCGTACGCGTTTAGCTTTCACTGAGTCGGTACTACTGGCAGTGAACCATCAGTCCTGAAGGTTGCATTCCATCCAGCATCCTTCAGTTCTTTCACTTATTAAATTATATACAAAAATTGTATGTGTAAATTTTTGCTTCCTTTTTTAGTTAATCTTACTAAAACTCAGATTTCTGCTTTCTTTGACAAAACGTTATTAGACGGGGTTGGCTGTTCTTTTAAGACCCTTTTTATTGTAAGCTCTATCAATATTTTACTTTTTCGGCTTTGTAAATTTTGGTTTCGATCATAGTTGACCAATTTCATCCCAGAAACATATGTCGTGCGTATGGAAATCAGTATTATATTTCTTTCGGTGTTTTGTTTGTTATGTTTTAGTTTTAGTTTTTGTTTTATAATATTCGCATATTTATCAATTTTTGTCATTGTTGGGTGGATTTTCAATGGACCAAAAACATTATTTGAAGGTCAAAAAATGCATTGCCTTATTTAGTTCTGGCTACCTCAGCACCTCAAATTAATATCTCCGAAGGCGTTATTGCAACCAAAACTACATTTTATCAATTATGTCCAATTTGAACATGCCTGAACATTTGTTTCTATACATGTAGGGCTTTTGACAGTCTCTTTTCAATTTACCACCCAACTTTCTTTAAACTTCGCTCGATTTAGAGCTTGAAATATTTCATAGACAAATGCTTTTAAAACTGACCTGTCTTTTAAGTAATTTGATTGTGTGTGCCTTCGAATAGCTGTCTCATTGACGCAAACCCCACATCTTCTGGTAATCATAGAAATTAAGCTCTAAGAAAATTTAATGAAGGTGATCCCATTTTCCATGATATAAAATTGTACAGTTTGAAAAGCGTCCAACAGTCTAGCATTTTCTGCAGGTTTTTTGGTTTTCATTTTTTTACTTAAAGTAATCTACAAATCAAATTTATTTTTAGGAGTCAGTATTATTTTAAATGCAATACATATAGACATATCATTTACAAATAGAAGTATCGGTTTTTACTGCACCATATGCGCATTACGACATTTCTGTCTCTTAAGTGATTGACCAAGCCAAAATATTTAAAATTCAAAACCTAATAATAACGTTGAAGATCTGACAAAACCCAAAAAAGTCTGACGGTATAATAGCCAAAATAGTTATAGGACCAGATGTGTATGAGGAAGATATATTCCGTATTTTCAAATATAATCATACACAAATATATCTGACGATTTTTCTGATCAAGTGTTCTACTGAAATTACGGTCGAAAGAACGCATCATCGGTAGCCCACCATACTCCTTAAAACTTACTCATGGAAAAAAATCTATCAACCGAGAAATTGCAGTTGTGATAATTTCTTTAAAAAAAAACAACCCTACAAACAAAGAGATGCCGTTGGGGCTTTTAATTTCAACATAAACTAAATAAAATAAAACAAACGACATATTTTCTTTGTAATGAAATAAGTAGATGTGTTATGCTTATTTGCACAATTAAATGATATTCATATAATTTCAATCAGGTTTGTGAAAAGACGTACTCGAATTTTGTCTCGCTGCCGACGAAAGTCACAGAAGCGTTACTTACAATTATTATACTTTGTGATTAAGTCACACCAGCTTGTTATATATCTGTTCGAACCTATGATCATACAATAGATTTTAAATGCCATTTTGTAGTTTCATCATAATCAGCTTTGATACAGATATCTAGACCTCACGCTGACTTTTGGCAGTTTATGAGGTTTATTTGCTGTCTCATTGACGTACAGCCCACATTTCCTTTTACAGTTTCGATTATATTGCGTTAATTTGAAAGATCGGAATGGATATGTTGTAATCAAAATGTCTTATTTCAAAATTGACATTTTTCATATCTAAGTTTTGATTCTTAGTTCCAAGTTATCATTACTGACTACCAAGTTGACATTTCTGACTTCCATTTTTACATTTTTCACTTCCAAGTTGACATTTTTTACTTTCAAGTTGGCGTTTCTCACTTTTAAATGACATTTCTCACAAACAAGTTGAAAATTGTCATTTCCAGATGGACATTTTTCAATTTCAACTTTACATTTCTCACTTCCAAGTTTTCGTTTCACACTTTCTAGTTGGAAGTGAGAAATGTGCAGTGCTACAACATTATAGGATTTTTATCATTGATTGGTTTTGGTTTGGCATACAAGAGAATCCTTAAGTATGCAATTTGATTTCATGGCACGGCGAACATAATGGACAATGATAAGAGAAAATTCTGTTTATAAAAAGAAGCAATATTACCTGTGAACAAACTAGTTATGTTAATGCTTAATTTTGGGTACTAGTATAGTTATTTGATTATGTTGTCCTTTGTACTCGTACTTTTTAAAGGTCTAGCTAATTATTTCCCTATTTTGTTGTTGATGGATACTTTTAATCATTTTATCTCTGAAGCAGTTATTATTTTTTCGCACTGTCTAAATTTAGATTTTATTAAAACCTTTGTTGTTTTATTATTTTCTTTAAATTTTGTCATTGCTATTATCCAATGTGTAATGTTTAGATATTGAATGGTAATTCTATTGACCTAAAGTGTGTGCAAAGATAATACAGATGTTAAATTATTAAAAAGAATTTTCGTTTGGAAATGACGTACATGTATCAAAGCAGTCACATCTTGGAGCATGATTCATTTAGAGGAGTTCACTATAACGAATTTTATTAAATTGATTCAACATGTTTAGTGTTCAATTAAAACAATTCAACTATTTACACAATACGCTTCTTGTTGGACAATACTTGGGAGGATAGTTTATTGCATAAATCATATATGCCGTGCATGTTGCAATTTTCCCATACATCTTCACATCCTGAAACAGAAATGTTTAAATAAGTCAGCAATTCATAATCACTTGTGTATCATATCATAGTCAGCTTTGATTTAGATATCTTTTCATCACGCTGACTTTTGGCAGTTTATGCCGTTTATTTGCTGTCTCGTGGACGTATAGCCAACACTTTCTCTTACAATTTCGTGAAAAAATAATAGATATACAATGGACATTCACTAAAATTAAACAGTTTTCTTAACGTGTATATTTAATGTTTCTAGCACTTACATGTTCCAAATACCTCACATGTATGACCACACCCATTATAACAACATTTCGCTTGTCCCCTACAATCACTGTTGCTAGAACACTGTTCAACACATCTTGCTATTAACAAACCTGCCGATGGACATTCACTAACGTTGGTCGCTGCATTGAGATAAGATAGATACTATTTCACACTATTATTTGTTTTTTTCAATTCTTTTTTTTAATTAAAGAAAAATCAACATTACTCTTTATGGTTAAACAGGCTCATTGGTGCATTTCAAATAAAAACATGTTAAATAATTTAAAACACATCATCATGATGTTTAAACAATGAAAATGAAAGTTCTTGATATTTTGCACTGTATTTAGCAGGCTCAATGGGATCTGTCTTTTGTTATATTGCTAAAACAATTTGATGAGGAGCTTTTGAATATGTCCAAATTAAATGTCCATAGTCTGATGCAAACGATGCTGTCAAGGTAAAGTTGAAAAAGAAAGTGCCAGTACAACAATAAAACCGTGTTTTCGTTACACCTATGAGTGTCAGTTGTAATGTAATCAACGGCCATTTCTCCTGAATAGCATCGGCAGAATTTGTCAACAAAAACAGATCTTTTGTCATCGGAAACTTCTTCAAACAAACCTTAGTTGTTCTTCTTCCTTAACGGGTATATTTAATGTTTCTGGCACTTACATGTTCTAGATATCTCACATGTATGACCACATCCGTTAAAACAACATTTCTTTTGTTCCATACAATCACTGTTGCTCGAGCACTGTTCAACACAGCTTCTTGTTAACGATTCTGGCGATTGACAGTCACTAAAATTGAACCCTGCATAGAGATATAAAAGATACTTTTACACACTATCATTGTATTTTTCTAAGTTGAATATATTCTTCCAAATGTCAGCTGATACTAAACATAGGTTAACAAAAACATATGCATTTTCCTTTTGTAAATTAAAAAAGAGGCATTACTTTGCAAGGGTAAAGATGTTCGTTGGTGTAATTCAAATAAAAACATTTTCATTAATGAAATATCTTTAATGGATAATGTATAAATACAATCGTGTGCTCTTCATGTACAAGCATCTGAAAACGTGTCATTGGATGTTGTGTATAAAATGTGTGGGAAGAAATTCAATAACATAAAAAAAAATATAAAAACTGATAAAAAGTTCATGTTTTGCAAGAAGTACATTTAAGATGCAAGTCTTTAAAGTTTTTATAATGAAAAATTAGTTTTTAAAGTTGTTTAACCTATGGTAGAGAGTCACAGCGTAAGTAAATAAAACAAAACACAAAAACTGTCAAGAGCGAACTCCATTTTCATCATAACAATAATTTCAATTTTCTACATAAATGTATAGAAAAAAATTAGCAATTTGAATATTGTAGAATTTACTTCTTATCTACTTATAGTTATACTTGTATGTAAAATGTTCATCTACAGCAAAAAAATAATACATTTAAACTGCTTGTTGTTCTATATTCTGAATTGTCTGAGAATGTATTATAGAATATTCAGAATACTGCACATCAGCAAAGTAGTCAGTACCTTGATACTAACATGACTCATAACTTGCATTTCTAAACTTGTCTGTTAATAAATTACAATGAAATGCTTTGAGAAAAATTCAGATTTGTCAATTATATAAAAATAAGAAGATGTGGTACGTTTAATTAGGAGTGTAATGCAAATGGGTGCTTTTAAGGTAAAGTTTAAAAAGCAAGTGTCAATACAACAATAAAACCGTGTTTTTGGTACGCTTATTAGTGTCAGTTGTAATGTAATCAAGGGCCATAACTCCTGAATTATATCAGCGGAAATCTCAACAAATATTTTGACATCAGAAACCTCCTTCAAAAAACCTTAGTTGTTCTTCTTTGTTATCGTGTATATTTAATGTTTCTTGCACTTACCATTTCTAGATATCTCACATGTATGACCACACCCGTTATAACAACATTTCATTTGTCCCATACAATCACTGTTGCTCGAACACTGTTCAACACAGTTTGTTGTTAACGATTCTGCCGATTGACAGTCACTAAAATTGAACCCTGCATAGAGATATGAAAGATACTATTACATCATTGTATTTTTCTAAGTTGAATATTCTTCCAAATGTAAGCTGATAATAAATATAAGTCAACAAAGATCATATGCACTTTCATTTTTTAAATTAAAGAAAAAATGACATTATTTTGCAAGGTTAAAGATGTTCGTTGGTGTTATTGAAATATAAAACATTTTCATTAATGAAATATTTTTAATGGATGATGTTAAGTACATAATCATGATGATTGAAATATGAGTAAAGAACCATGTGCTCTTCATGTACAAACTACTAAAAACGTACCTTTTGATGTTGTGTATAAATGTGTGGGAAGAAATTCAATAACATGAAACAAAATATAAAAACTGATGAGAATTTCATATGCTGCAAGAAGTACATTTAAGATGCAAGTCTTTAAAATTTTATAATAAAGAGTTTGTTTTCCTAGTTGTTTAGCCTATGGTATAGAGTCACAACGTAAAAAATATAAAACAAAACATGAAATCCGCCAAAAGTGAACTCCGATTTTATCATAACAATAGTTTCAATTTTCTATAAAAATGTATAGACAAAAATTAGCATTGCTGCAATCTGAATATTGTAGAATGTAATACTTATTTTAATGCTTTTATGTAAACTGTTCATCTACAGCAAAATAATACACACTTCAACTGCTTCTTGTTCTATATTCTAATTGTCTAAGAATGTATTATAGAATATTGAAATACCGCACATCAGCCAAGAAGTCAGTACTTTCCAACTGACATGGCGTATAACTTGCATTTCTAAACTTGTCTGGTAATAAATTACAATGAAATGATTTGAGCAAAGTCTAGACTTGTCACATAAATTTAGTACAGAGTCTTATGCTATGAAGGTAAAGTTGAAAAAGAAAGTTTCTATACACAATAAACCCGTGTTTTGTTTGTAAGTGTTAGTTGGAATGTAATCAAGAGCTAAAAGTCCAACGTCAAAAATTGTCAATTTCTGTTCAATCAAGGACCGTATAGCCTCAATGCCAAAGTGAAAGTGTATTTGCGTATCTCAATAACATTTAGTATAATTTCAATTTACTGATAACAAAATCAATATTTATAACAATAAAAACCAATATTCAAAGATCTAATTACAGTATTGAATTAGTAACCTTTTAAAATAAGTTCCGGGCTCGGTTAATAACATCTCAGAAATAATGAGGATGTGCTATTTCGTTTGAAATAAGTTTCCTACGGGTACAGCCAAACTTCCAAACTAAATCTTTGTATCTATTGAAGAATTTAGTAATGGTTTTAAGTTATTTGTGGTAACGATATCCTTGACTTTATAATTTACCAGTAAAACGTAGATTATATTCATTGAAACAAAAAACGCCACAAAAGACATATGCATAGCGAACGAGTTGTGATATATAAACACCGTAAAATGGTGCCAATGAACATCACCGTCAAACAAGAGGAAAATTAACAATAGGAAACGAAAAATCGTCGATGTCTTATACTTTGTTAATGATAATTTCATTGTAAACGCTGCGGCATCAAAATTGGTCTAATTCATTACATAACATTTGTGCTTAAATACAATTAAGTATATCACCGATACTTTTTTTATACATTACTTTATATTTAAAAATCAAATTTGGACTTTTTAGAGGTAGTTAAATGTTTTATGTTGAACATAAATATACCTGCACATGCGCTTCTGGAACATGTCTTACTGTCAAATGTTTCATTGTAACTACATAGCATTGTAGTATTCATTTGTTGCCTTATTCTGACTTGTACTCCGTTGCCACAAGTAATACTGCATTTGGACCAAGAGCTCCAGAATGACCAGGAACAATCTGTTTTATCTGCATCTAGAACTAAGAATTTAGAAAATGTAGCATGCAGAAAAACTAATCTGCATTGTATAGACTTTATTTCGAAGTTGAATGCTTCTTTTTATATCTTTTGTGGGTTGTAAAAGAATTGATCGAAACACAATGTGTATGTAGCGCTTCATTCTCAAATTGTTTACACAATCAACGCTTTTACAATCCATTCAAATTATAAAAAGAAGCATTCAATTCTTATAATTACATGTTTATGTTACAACCATGAAATTAACGAGTTATATCAAGCTTTTCGTTTGTTTTAACATTGTCTCGGATAACACGTGCAGTCAAAGCTGTTGTATTTTATACGGAAATAGAATTTGATACTGAAGTGCCTCACAATGTTGTCAGTCAATCAAAATTACGCATTCTGATAAAACATACATGTAATGTAACTACTAAATAATATGCATAATAATACTCAGTTTAATTGAGGTCTGAAGCTGGCATGTCAGTAACTGCTAGTAGTCTGTTGTTATTTATGTATTATTGTCATTTTGTTTATTTTCTTTTGTTTCCTATTCTGACATCGGACTCGGACTTCTCTTAAACTGAGTTTTACTGTGCGTACTGTTGTACGTTTGTTTTTTCTACATTGGCTAGAGGTATAGGGGGAGGGTTGAGATCTCAAAAAACATGTTTAACCCCGCCGCATTTTTTGCGCCTGTCCCAAGTCAGGAGCCTCTGGCCTTTGTTAGTCTTGTATCATTTTTAATTTTAGTTTCTTGTGTATAATTTGGAGTTTAGTATGACGTCCATTATCACTGAACTAGTATACATATTTGTTTAGGGGCCAGCTGAAGGACGCCTCCGGGTGCGGGAGTTTCTCGCTGCATTGAAGACCCATTGGTGGCCTTCGTCTGTTGTCTGCTCTATGGTCGGGTTGTTGTCTCTTTGACACATTCCCCATTTCCATTCTCAATTTTATACTAGCAAATTCTATATTCATTCTTCTTAAAAATATAGTGTTTTTATTTTCCTGATTTCGATATCTAATATGCATTCGAGTAGATATTTTACTTATAATACTTTAAAAAGATAAAATTGATTTACAGATTTGTTTGTCGTCGAAAAGGGACTAACTAAATATTGAACACGTTTGCTCCTTTTTATCTCCAAGTTACACGAACATGTTATTAAAACATATGTCGTGCGCACTGACATTGGTTTGATGATTTTAAATCGTGTCGAATATCAAATTATGTGTCGGCAGATCATGTTCATTTACCAAATTTAAACTTTTATACCTACACTGTGTTTCTGGTAATATTTTCTTTGCTGTGAAGAATGTAACTACACCTGTTAGAATTATTGCAATCAAAGAAAACATAATGATAAGAGCTAACAACCAAGATGAGATTTGAATTGTTTGACGACTATGAATATCTGCTCGTCTTGGTGGAATATTGGGTAGTTTAATGTTGACATCTTTGGAAGGATCTTCCTTAAACACTAATGTTATTTCATCGTACTCTGTTGAACGACTTTCTGAAGGTACCTCCTCATAGTTCGAATCGGTTATCTCTGACTTAAAACTGATGTTGTTACAGAATTTGTGTTGAGAGTTTGACATTGTGGTTTCTTATTAGTTGCAATCTGCAAAATATAATACACTATGCTTTTGTTTAGTTTATAACTATTCTATTTGCTAAAGAGACAAAGAGGGAGGGTTGGATCTCTGAATTGTAAGTGATATTGATATGGACGTTTGCCATCGTAGTTGGTATAAGAATAAAGCATTAAAAGAAAGATTAGTTTTAGAAGACACACACAACTGTTAGATCCAATAATACAACATGATATGAAGTAGAGCAATGGTTACAGGGCTAATTGTCAAGATGACAGCTAAACATCGTTTTTCTGAGTCCAAGACTTTTCAAGCAACTAAACATTGTAGTTTTGATATCAAAATTATCTATTAAGAATCAAAGCAGTTTTTGTTTCTCTCCCCTCTATATTGTATGCTCTCAAACGTTTTATTTGTTCAGCTTTTGGTATTGCGCGTCCCTTGTTTACGATATTGTCGACAAAAGTTATTAGGGCACAAAAATGGATATCATACGTATTTCATTACTGTCACTTTTATATTTAGTGAGTGCAATGGTACTTTCATTATTTAAATGATATATTTTGTTGGTAAAAATCAATTTAATAAACTATGTAATTGTATGAAAACAAAAGTTGCATGTTCGTTTTCCTTGGTCTTTAGTTTTCTATGTATTGCTTTGTAGCCTGTTGTTTGTCTTTAAGTCGATTTTCGTTTTTTGTCATGGCTTTGTTAGTTCGTTTTTGACTTATGAATTTGACTATCCCTTTGGTATCTTCCGCTTCTGTGATGCGTCATTATCATGCAAGGTTGACCTTAAATGTATTTTGGACGCTCTCAAACTGTTTATATATTTAGACCCAAAACATGTGTCCAATGTACATTATCGTTATCACTCGTTTTTTTTTATAATTCTAAATCAACAAAATACTGTGACATTAATTATGTTACAAGGATATACATGACAGAAAACATATTGTAATGATGACTTATCATGAAGAGGAATAATCCCAGAACTATATAATTTGATATTTTCCTAAAAGATTAGTTGAAAAAAATCAAATATATTGAATATACTGTACATTATCAAGTTTGGGAAGCATGCTTAAAACATTTATCTTAACTGTCTAGTATAATGACGAATTATCAATTTAAAAGGCAAAACAGATTATTCAAACTTTTATGAATGCATGATTGTATAATCTTTGGAATAGCGATTTTACTTTTACTGGTTGCAACGTATACCTAAGTCTTTATTGTCAGTCTTGGACATTTTGGTAAACTGATATAGGGGAGAATTAAAAAGACATATACATGTAATAGAATCTTTGAAAATTAAGATTCTTTCTCCGGATGGGTTAAAGCTGATGTTGGTACTACTGAATTATAAAACCTTGACAAGTGTATGCAAACTCCTGCTATATCTATCTTCAAAGACTTAAGTGTTGCATATTATCTGTCTTACCCCAGGGCAAATATGTTTCCCCGCTGACAAAGCAAAAAAATAATATCGTTTTGAGGTTAAATCTTTATTTTGTACAATGCTTGAGAATTTATTGCCAATTTACATGATAGATTCCTGTTGGAATCGGAACTATAAATACAATGCCCAATATTAGGAGAATGTTATGATCTATTGTAATGTATTCTTATGCCATCATTTAAAATTTTTTTTTTTTTACAAAAATGAAGAAATATTAACCTCTACTGTGTCTCTTTTAAAGTATACCATACACCGGTTCATAACATATATCAAGAATCATTTATTTAATTACTTATTATAACCATTTAATTGTTAATATATTATTTAAAGTAAAAATAAGAAACAAACTAAATGCAGATTCAAGCTTATTCTTTGAGTTTGAAGCGATAAAAATGAAAGTGGCTGAGCACATTTAACAGCATGTCAATGAGAGAGGGAAATTGTCACCGACTGTAACTTACCCAAACTATAAGACCGGTAAGAAATTCTTTGTTATCTTTTCGTCTATTATCTTTTTCTTAATGTTTTCTGTCCTTATTCATTTAGAACACCTTCTTGGTATCATCGAACGTTGTATTTCATTGCGTTAAAACAGTTTTACGAACAACTGATACTAATACTTAGAAAACAAGAAACAGATAATCATATCTCCTGTAATCAATGTATACACAATGAAAGGGAAAATGAACCTAGCCCACTAATCATAGCAGTAACCATAACTTCATATATTTATCAATTAAATAACTTGAAACCCAAGTTTAAAAAAAAATCTTAATTGTTTGTAGTTGTTCACGATAAAATAAAATTTAATGATAAGATTTAAAATAAATAACATGTGACAACGGAGACTTTAAAGTATAGTTATAAGGTATCTAGGGACAAAGAACACTATATTATCAAAATCGATATGTCTTCATTCAAAAACTTGAATATCGACTTACCTGAAATATTAACTTTGCAAATCTTTAATTTTTAGTTTTGAAACGCAACGTAAGTGGTTCAATTATTCATTTATCTAGTTTGTGCTTAAATTCGAAATCTAGACTTTTAAAGTTTAGAAATTTTGACTTGAACACAACTCAAGGTGTCGATTTAATATCAGAATCTACGTCTTAAGATTGTGATTTTAGTTGGATGCTCTACATATATCTGGTAGATATAATCTACAATACATGAAATAAACATGTTTGAATGAAAAGGTGCATTGAAGCATTATTTTTTTCTGATTTTTTTCGTTTTGAATATGTATCACAATACATGCCCAAATTACGATTCATTTGCTAAATATGAAAAGGAAAAACATTTTTGAAAACAACAAAATTGACCAAAGAGAGGCAATCGGAATCATTAGTCGAAGAAGGACAGAGAACAGCATGGTGAGAAAAAAAAACACCAGTCCGCAAAACACTATATTGAAAACTTTGATTGATAGATAACAACAATTCATTGAAGTCATTTTCATGTAGTTTGATACAGAATCAATCCTTCTCCAAATGAGGATATGCGTAAAATTCAATGTCAGATTCAATTCTAGTTTTAGTTTAAAAGAGAACAGTTTTCATTTAATTGTCCTTGTAAAGTAAGTAACATAAACTATTCATAGAAACCATACAATGATATGTGGAATTACCGATGAAAACGATGTATTGGCATATATTTATGAGAAATACATTATGTACTTACATGGAAAACTTGAGCATAACATTTCCCAGCCTTTAAACTGGACTTTCGTGAACTCAAGGCATGTGATGGAAGTTAACTTTGGAGCGCTGTGATTAGGTGTTAGAGTATAATTTCTTACTTTTTTTTTCTTAAATGTATTTACGAAAAACTGCAGTATACAAGTGTGCTATATAAATTTTAAAACACATTGAAATATTTTTTTTGAGAATTTTCCAAAAGACTTTTAATAAATTTAATGTAAAATGATGGTGGCCATGAATACCATTAACAAGCTCCGTTCGAAGATGGTCATGATACCATTAGACTTCAATTTCTAAAACCGAATGATAAAGTACTAATACCACACATGACTGTTTTGTCCTCTTTTTATCATAAAATGTGGTAAAATTCAAAAAATGTTAGTATTGTCGCCTATGTGAGAAAAATACTACCGTTTTCCTTATATAGTATATAATAATGTTTAATTGAAGAAAAAAACTATATCTTAATTACAATAATTCATAAAAATTGTTATATTTAAAAGAAAAGTAAATGAGTCAATGACATAACGTACTTACTTGTCAGCTGACAAACATTGGAGTTAGTAATTTCATATCAGTCCATTATAAGTGTTCCGGGAATAAAAACAACGTGTATACGGGGTAAATACTTTAAGTTAAAAGTTATCAAGTGTTTTAAAGTATAGGCGATACAATTTCATATTGTATTGTTAGTTTCGTGATTTTGAGGTATGTTTTAGATTGAGAAAAGTCATAAAAAAAAATAAAACATAATTGCCACGTGCTTATTTCGAGATAAATCAATTTCAAAGTTAAAAAACTCTTATAACTTGAAGATTTTCTGAAACTATTTTTATGCGATAAAATATTACAATTTGTTTACAAACGATCTGATAAATGTGAATTGGCGAAAAAAATATTCTATATTTTATTTCAAAACTTGATTAAATGTAAAAAGTAAGTTGAATCTGCAGATTTCTTGTACTGTCATTTCCAGACTTATTTAGATACGTACATGTACGAATACGATGTTAATAAGAATTCGAAATAAATGTGCATAAAAAGTATTTGTTACCATGATTACTATAGAGAAGAATCTCAAAATTGTTCGTGAAAGTTTGTTTTCCCAATTGTTGCCCCATTCTTTGAGGGAAATCAAGCTCCCACGTTTGGATAAATGTAATGACGTCTTCTGTCACATTCTAAATTTTCAGAGTACCAATATCCAACAATCTGACAAATTAGATAATGTATTCTGTTTCCTTTTAAAACGACAAACGTTTTGTGTTTTTTTTTTATTACAAAGAATGTGTAAAAAGTCAAGTAAAGGGAAAACGGTAGTATTTATTCTGCCATAGGTGACAATATTAGCATTTTCGAAATTTACCACTTTTTATAATAATTCTCTCCAGACTTTTCATTCATTTAACATTGGCACCCTTTTTCTTTCAAAAATTATGAAATAATAAAAAGGATTTTATAGCATTTTCAAGTATGGCCTTTTAAACTATATTTAATAAAATTATGAAAAGAAAAGCAGGGGTTAGCGGGGAACATTTTTTGATGGCACTACATGGATAAAAACAGAGGATTCAGAATATCTAGCAAACATTCAAAAACAAGAGGAACGAACATCCTTAAACAACTAAATCTTACAGTGCCTGGTGTAAATTAGAGGATTAAAAACAATATATGTACATTGTCGAAAATATTAAAATTATTTGAACTCGCTACAAAACAGGAGAAAATTTTGGCAAGCCTAGCTTTTCGTCCTGTTTTAAAGCTCATACAAATAAATTATTTTCCGACAATGTACATATATTGTATATGCATCTTATTTTTATCATGAATTTGTCATGCATGCTCATCATATTTCATCATCCCTTCCATAGAAATAAGAAGATGTGGTATGAGTGCCAATGAAACAACTCTCCATCCAAGTAACAATGTGTAAAAATCAAACCATTATAGGTCAAAGTACAGCCTTCAAAACGGAGCATTGGCTCGCACCGAACAACAAGCTATAAAGGGTCCCAAAATGACTAGTATAAAACAATTCAAACTGGGAAGCCAACGGTCTAATCTAACTATTTTAAACGTATTTAGAGAAGAGGAGTTTCTTGTTGTCCTTCGCCTAATTTTAGAAAAAGGAATTAATAACAAAAAAACATTTCCGAACGTTCTATCATATATGCCTTTGTTTGAAGTAGGCACACTTCAGAAAACTGATTCCTGGTACAAACGGGTACTTGACATAAATGACAAGTTAATTTCACACTGTAAATGCAAGTTCAGCAAAAAAGACGAAAATGTGATCTCCAGACAAGTGTTAATTGAACTAATATTGAACATCATTGTACAAGGTCTACTAATACTTAATCCTGTGAAGCTTCAAAAAGTAGCCTTGTTGTTTTAGTAAAATTTCTGAAAAGTAACCAATCAGAATAAAAGATTGTCGGCCCATGGCGGCCATGTAAGTTATCCGTTTAAAAAAATGGTGAGAGATTGTTGTAGGAGATTTTGCATAGATAATTCTTATGTAAACAATTAAGAAAGATTAACTTTATGTAAGAGGATAAAATAGAATTAGCTATATTTCTATACGAATTTGTAGTCATTTTTATCAAACTATGCGTACAAAGGGATACAAAAAAATTATACATTTCTTAAAATGGTAATTTATTACAATAATTCTGTAGTTATCCTTATAGTCCCGTAATGCCTAATGTAAGTTGCAAAATTTTTATGAAAATTATATTTTCTTCATTAAAGGATTAAGAGCATATAATTATCTAACAATGTATCATAATTTTGAAGCTATTGATATTCGTCATGGCAACCATTTAACGGAAAAAAGTAAAGTTAATAGAAACAATAGTTTGTAGATGGGAAATGACATAGTTGCAATTCTTTAATAAATGAAAATGTTATTCTAAGGCAACTGTTTGGGCCCTTTCTTTCGAAAATTAAAACGGATTAATTCACGAGTCTAAAACAATGATATAATTCAAGTGTTCACTAGATATCAATATCTATATATTTTTTGTCTAACATATCTGCATTAGGGTTTAAAACTATTGTCATTTGATGGAAAACTCAATAATCGCCTTAAAAAGCAGATTTTTTAAGGTCTTGTCAATTATACGTAAATACTTACAACAGCCATACTGAAAAAGAAATTCTGTAACATGATGTCTTGAACGTAGATGTTAGTTAGAAGTGCGTCAATTTTTAGATGTGTATGACATCAAAGTGACAATCATGCACTTAAGTATCTTGATAGCATTTTTCCATACATTTGGTAATAAATCTACCCGGTTAAATAAAGGATTTGAGATATCAAATATATTATGTAGCTTTAGTACATATTGTCATGATATCATGGCTCTTCTCATACATCCTTCTTTCTGTATTTCTAATTATACTCCTTTGTAGTTTGTTCTGTTGAATTAACAAACAAAAGCTACCATTTTTATCAAAGGAATATATGTTGCAATGAATACAATGGCACATTCTTATAATTAGCACTACATTGTTACATATCGGATAGTATATTAAGTTTGGGTCACACGGTGAACCTTAAAAAAACCAATCAAGTTGTTAGGGTAAGATGGCTCTTTCATATACTTTGAACAATCCTCAACTGGTTAGTAAGAAGTTATTTGGAATATATTTATCTACGGTAGGCGTATGAATTTTTAATTATAAAAAGCGGCTAATTGTAATAACAATAGAGTAAGAAGTCCCGTTAGTATTTAGTGTGGTGCGTGCACGAGAAAAGTTATCGACAAGGGCGGAGACCATCTAGAGTTAAACGTATTTTGTGCATAGGAATAGATCTGTCTGATAGTGAACTAATCAGTAAGGAGTCAGCTGAACCGGACATAAATTCAAGCGAAGAAGTAACGAATGCAGATTTGTCATCTTTGTTCAAGACTTACATTGACGGCAAATTGGCTGGTCTTGAGAGAAACTCACAGTCTGGCTAGGAAGGTGAAGAAAGTTGAAACCACATTCAATTTCAAGGGTAACCAGATACAATTTGAATTAAGTTTGGACATAATAGGCAATATTGAAGAGCCGTTGAGTTCACTGAAAGCAAAATGCCCGCCAGAGCAACGAAACTTCTCGAAGAGTCGATACAAATACTAAAGAAGCGTAACAAGCTGATCCGGATAGCCCTTTCGTAGCAGCTTGCCCTAGTAGACACGCAAAGTCCAGAGACATGTTCTATTCATGTTCGAACTTTTGACACTGGACTAGAGATTCCTGAGCTAAGGACAAAACATCCACTTCCTTTACTCACACACTCAAGTCCATGTGCTTTTAATAATTTGTAGAGATATTTTCTAGTTGGTAAAATGAAACTTATCAATTTCCATTTAAATATTTTAAATTTATTCATTTCTAAATGATGGTGTATCAATTTCAACATATATTTTCGGTAAAAACTGTTATTCATTTCTTAAATTTTTTTTACCATTTATTCATACCAATGTTTGGAGAAATTTTGTTTTGAACGAGGTATTGATATATAAAAAGTAACATAACAAAAATACCGAACTCCAAGGAAAATTCAAAACGGAAAGTCCCTTATCAAATTGCAAAATCAAAAGTTCAAACACATCAAACAAATGGAAAACAACTGTCATATTCCTGACTTGGTACAGGCAATTCCTAATGTAGAAAATGGTGGATTAATCCATCTTTTTTTTCCTTACATTTTCAATTTCAATTTTTTCTTGGTTGATGTTTATAACTGATTTTTTAAATTTTACATTTGATTTGATGGATTCTTTCGTACCTAAAACTTTTAACCACGAGGTTGGTCTTTTTTGGCTATCGAAATTTCTGATATTCAATATTATTGGTGGTGTCTCGCTGTTTTTCAAATATTTTTTTCATGGCCAATTTTTCCATTGTCGTCTATAATATCATTTAAATAGATGAATTCACTTTGTATCCAAATATGCATAACTAACGACTCGTTTTGAAATTTAATAACTTTGTTACTCCAAATTATGTGCTTTATTATTTCGACAAAGTTTTTCAATTATGAATTTTTGTTTCATGAAATAAAATCCAATTTCTTATTATATGCACGTAAAAATTTTGGAATAGCCTTAGTTATATCAAGTTTTAAGGTTTGGTTGTTTAAGTTCATTTTGAAAATCAGGAAATGTTCTAATTTAGTTCGGAATAGCTTTGGGATCTGTGTCAACTTATCTGGTTTTGCGTGTAGCAATCTATAGGCCCACCTTATATTAAGAGAGGAGAAATAGCTTTTATGTCGGTCATATTTAGCCCTCCTTGGTTATAATCTGCTACCAATCTATATCTTTTAGCTTTATCTTTTTTACTGTTCAATATAAAAGTAAAGATGGCTCTTACTAGTTCAAGTAAATTGGAGTTACTTTAAACTGAAACGTTCGCTAAAAAGTTAATTGTAGTATAAAGAGGATTTTAAACATAAGAATTTTACCTAGTACTTTTACGTTCCTTTTTTCCATGATTTTAATGGATATTTGCTCTTTTCATATCTAGTATCCCAATTAAAGTTTTCACAATCTTTTTTTATTAATGCCAAAATATAGTAGCACTTTTTACGTGTTTATTCGAGAAATTTATTTTTATTTACTTCATCTCTACA